CTGATACCAAGGGCTCAAGTAGAAAGCAAATGTTTTGAGCATGATGATGGCATTAAATGTATAAATGTGCTTGACACAATGGATGGATGGATGGATGGATTGTGATAAGAGTTGAATAAGCCCCCAATAAAATAATTTTTTTAAAGTTGGAAACACACACAAAATCATTTCTGAAACTAGCATGGACTTTTTGGACAAATAAATCTGGGACAAAACCTCAGCTCTAACACTTCCATAGTGTGTGACTTCAGGCAAGACCTGTCCCCACCTCTAAGACTCACTTTTCCGTATGTTGAGGATCATGGCCTGACTTCAAAGAATTATTCCAAGAGTTGGAAGTAATATTGAATCCCAGGGTTGATGGGACTTAGAAATCCACACAAGACTCCATTTTATAGACAGCAAATTAATTCAACACGTTATTTATTGAGTGCTTACGAGGGGTGGTGCTCTCCTGGGCTCTGGTGATAAGCCTGAGGCCCTGAGGTGACCAGGTCTGTAGACAGTGAAGAAGGGTTTGGGACCCAGCGCACCAGTCCCTAGGCTTTCCCATGAACAGTAAGCTCTTCCTTGTCTGCCAAGCTGCAACTAAGAGGCGCACCACCATCATCATGCCCTGTCCTGGACAGCTGTGCTCAAGGCCCAGTCAGCTTGAGGATCAGCCCACCCCTCTCCTCAAGCTGTGGGATAAAAGACACATAAGCCCTTAAGCCCCCAGTCACAGAGCAGATTCTGTGCTCCCCTACCCTCCTCCTCTCTATATACATAGTGGTCATTCAGTTACAGGGAAAAGTAGGGACTTAGGCAGCAAAAATCAGGGGAAAGTAGGTCACAGTAGGAGGATGGTAATCCCTCTGATGACTGTTCAGAGCAGCATGGGTCCTGCTCCTGGAAGCAGGCTACTCCTGGCCACCCACCAAGAGTGGCTCCAGAAAACCCCTGAGGTCTGGGGAGCCAGCCCCCCCACCTCTCAGCAGCAGAACCTGGATGAGGGGGCTGCCCGACGCCAGGAGATTCTCCTCTGCACACTGGGGCCCATATAGGTCCGAGCTCTTGCTGACTGAAATGCTTCCGTAGGCTGGACTTGAGAGATTTTTGTCTTTCATTCCCACAAGTGCACCTATTCTACCCAGTTCTAGGGGAAGTGTTGAAGACATAATGAAAACTCTTGGACAGGTCTTGTTCTTGGGTAGCCCCCAGTGAGGAATGCTGACCCTGACCCTGACCTTGGCTCAGAAAGGGCAGTGCTATCACTGCTGAGAAGAGAGGGGCCAGGTATGGGCCCATAGGAGATGCTTGATCTAGCTCTTGTGAAGATTTCCCACAGGTGATGCTGACAGGATAGAAGTGCCCCAGGTGGAAATGGGGAGGGTATTCTGGACATAAAGAATATACCCCCGTACAACCCCCCCACCAAAAAAAAAAAGAATATACCCAGAGGCACGAAAAGCTGTCATTTTCTTCTGGAAAATGTTGATTTAGAGTATGGCTTCTGGAAATAGGTCAAAAGGGCCAAATCTGGAAGAGGTTTTTTCCTGAACTTTCTCCTTTGGGTGATGTGGGAAGATGAGTTAGGAGGGGTTGGGAGACAGAAGTGGAGATACAAGTCCAGGTGGCTGAGGCACAGGAGCACAGACGCACAGACTGAATCACTAGATAAGAGTCCTCACTGAGGCATCTGGGCTAGCCAGAATGGAAGGGTGTTTGGAAAGCATAAATAAAATGGCTCTTAGACACCTGGATGGAGATCTTTGGAGGCCTGTCACCCTGAAACCTAAGTAAGGTTCTCAACAAGTCTGATTGTGTCCTGGGAAAGTAGGAGGACATTTCCCAGCTGAGGTTGCTGAACTCTGGGTCTCCATGGCTCTTCTCCATCTTTGCCGATTGCTTGGGACTCTTTGCAAAGCTCTCTCCAAGACTAACCCATCTATTCACCACCATCACCTGCTGGTCTTGCATGCTTGCCTCACATTATTCCCTATGTAAGTGCTCCTTCTCAGGAACGTCATCTGACGCCAAGCACTGGGACCATGGCTTCTCGATGCTTCCACAGAGTGGAATCTCAGGACAGACTTGACTTCTACAGGGCCTGGTAGACAAGGAGCAGGCGCTTCCCATCAGGGTCTGTTTTTCCATTTAGAAAGTCAGAGAATCAAGTGAGGATGGGGAGCCAGCATAGAATCCTGGAGGTAGAGGTGGAAAGTAGACTGATCCAGAAAGTCTGGGGACCTGGCTGCTTCCACCCTCTCTGAGGGCTCCTCCTTTGCTCAGGATTCTGCCCATGCTGATTATGCTGATTCACGGCCTCCCTCCCCACCAGCATGAGCAGGGCACCATCACACACTTAGTGCATTCACGCCTCACCCCTGCTAGAAAACCTTCTGGGATTGCTGGGATTCAGGTACATCTCTGGCGTGTGAAAGGAAGAGGCCAGAGGAAGCGTCCATTACTTCCGCGACTCCAGGTGGTATCAGGGGCGCTTTCCACCTTCTGGGATAGACCCCCTCAGAAGGATCAAGAGCACAGAGCAGGAGGGGATACAGCAGATCCTCTGAGCTGAAGTGGCAGTCAACAGAGAGGGGTGGGGAGGAGGAGGAGGAGGAAGAGGGATGGGCAGGAGGAGGAGGGATGGAGAGGAGGCGGAAGAGGGATGGGGAGGAGCTGGGGGAGGAGCTGGACCTTCCCAGGTGGGGCAGAGATTAAAGAACACTCCAACACATCGCCTGGACTTCAGGGACCAGAAAAGGAGGGGCAGAACTGAGGACTCCGGTCCTACCGACCCTGATCCCCGCCACCCCCACCCCAACGGGTCTGGGACGGCCGAGAGTGGGCTGTGCGTGCAGAGGATCTGGGTCTCCACCCGTGCTCCTGGGAGCCGCACGCACGTAATGGAAAAGCTCCTGGCCACCGTCGCCATCGCCGCTGGGAAACCGGTGTTGTGCAGAGAAAGATTGAGTCCCTGGCGGGGACTCCCAGCCCCGCCCATCTTGGGGGCCCATCCTGGGGCTCAGTTCCAGCCCCCGCCCCTCCGCCCACGGGAGAATGTGCGGGGGGGGACGGACAAAAAAAAAAGGTGCTAATACGTGAGCAGTGTCCCTCGCTCTTCGGAAGATCGTTTTGCGCCACTTTGCTTTTGTTAGAGTCTGTAACATAGACCTACCGTCGCACCTGTTCCCGCTAACCAAAAGAACTCCCAGGCAGATTCTGCCTTTGCAAAAGCCAGCGTTGGTGTAAAGAGGCCCCGAGCGGCCAGAGTGGCAGGGCCAAGCACCTTCCCTGGGCACGAGCGACCGTGGCTTTGAACTTAAGTTGTTTTTGGTTTTTTTTAATGTATTATTCATTATCTGAGCTGATGGGTTACTTCTGGGGTCTGAGAACGTGGGAAAACATTTTTCACATGTAAAATAGCCTTCCCCCCTCCCTCCCATATACATGAATAGTCGTTGCTGCTTTGCTTTAAGCCATTGCGCGGACGAAAGGTTTCCAAGGGACGCTCCTCCACGTGCAGCGAAGGAAACCTGTACCTTTAATGAAAGTTCAGCCCCGCGACCCAGCCCCCAGGTCAGGGCGCTGCTACCCCGGCTGGTTGCTGGTGGCTAGGCCAGAGGTCCCAGGAGGCAGGCCAGCGCCAGCCCCGCGGCCAGCAGCGGGAGCGCGGGGGCCGGTGCGGACCGGGGCGCGGGGGCCCGCAGCGTCTCCTGGTTGGTCTCGGGGCTGGCTCCGCGCTCCGGAACGCGCACCGAGGCGCCGCACAGAGCGTGCAAGTTATCCGGGTGCGGGGCCCGGCGAGCCTCTTGCTGCAGCGACTCCCACACGGCGGCTGCCTCCTCCGGGCAGCCCGACAGGACCCGCGAGGCACAGGCTTGGAAGTCATTCCAGGACCTGGGAAGGGCGTAGGGTGAGCGGCATTAGGCAGGGCAAGGAGGGTGGCCCGGGGCCAGCCCCGCTGCGCGCGCGCCCATCCTTACCTGCAGACTGCCTCCAGCTCGCCTCCGCGGCCCATGCCGTCCCCCAAGCGGATGAGGCACTCTGCGAAGCCCTGGTATATGGTGTCACAACGGCCTTTGCCCTCTCCGGCGGCTGCTAGGGACGGTGCGACGGCTGGGAGAGGCGTGGAGAATGGCAAATGGGATGAACGCGGCCGGCCTGCACGCTCCCTGCCCCCCAGGGCTTGATTACCCCAATGCCTGGGGACGTGACTCAGCGTGAAAAGGACTCCCCAAGGAACTGAGAGGCAAGACTGGGGATCAACTGTCTCAGTCCCCTCCTAGGGGGGACTTGTATCCGGATACATGTGGTGGGGGGGTGGGGAGGAAGGAGTGTCATGTCTCTGGGGTCTGCTCTCCTGAGCTTCTGGGGCCTGAGGTCTCAAGTCGGGTGGGTTGGTGAGTGTGGTCCAGGTGAAGGAGCCAGGGGCTGGGAACCGGGGCTCCAGATCTGGGCAGCATCGGAGCCCTCGGCAGCATTTATGTGAGCTTCCTGTGACCCACCCACCATGCCTGCAAAGGCAGGTGTCTTCTGGTGGGGTCAGGCAGGATAGAGGGGGGTTGGAAACCAGGCCAGCCCCTCCAAGAGGGCCCTTAGAGACCCTATAGCTGGTTTAAGAATCTCACTAGAAGCTTCTATCAGAAGGAGAGCAGTGGAATTTGGGGGACTTGACTTTGCAGGCTAGCCGCCCTGATAGTGTAGTAGTTAGGCACTTGGCTACTAGTGGAAAAGACAACAGTTGGAAACAATCAGCCTTTCTAGGGAGAAAGCTGAGGCCACGGGATTCCTTCAAGATTTACAACCTGGAAACCTTACGGGGCTTCTCTACTCGGTCCTATAAGGCCACTGTATTGCCATCTACTTCAATGAATGTTGTACCCGACAACCGGTGCTCAGTGCCCTCCCCCCACTTTCGGTCCTGAAGTTACTGGCACAGATGGGAACCCCAAGCTATCATCTCCCTGGAGTCCTACTTCCCAACGTTCAGGGAAGCTGGGCTCCGGTTCCCAGCGACACACCTAGACCAGACCTGGCTGAGGCGGGAAGGAGGGAGGCAGGCCCGGCGGTGGGCCGGGTCCGCAGCCCACACTCACCAAGAGGCAGCAGCAGCAGCAGCAGCCGCAGGGCAGGGGGTGACTGGCAGCGAGGGCGGCGAAGGTGGCAGCAGCAGCCACAGAGCATCTTCCCCTGCTCTGAGCCCAGTGGCAGCACTAGCAGCTAGGGAGTGCGGCCCATCAGCCCAACCCCCCTGAAAGAGGGGCCGTGATTGGCTCGGAGCTGGGGGCGGGACTGCAATGCCAGAGGATGGCTCCACCCCCAACGCACAGCTTGGCAAGGAGGTGAGGATGCACCCACCCCGGGCTGAGGCCACCAGGAGACTCTGTGTGCACAGGGTCGAGGGTTGGTCAGTGTTGTCTAGGGCAGGGTTTGGCAAACCGGCTTGAGACCCCTATGCATACCTTCTAGTAAGTACGTAAGTGTGGCTCTGAAGTAAAACTGAAAACATTTAAAAGATATTATTCAGATGGTGGTGGTCTCCTTTGTAAAAATATATTGATGGCTCTCAAATAACTTTTCTTTGTTGTAAGAGGGCATGACTGGCTCTTCTGTCTGAAGTTTTGCCAACCCCTGGCCTAACCACAGCATTCCATCGGGACAAGCGAGAGGGCAAGGGGCAGTGAGAGTGGGTGCGGTATCAGAGCCACACTAAAGACACACCCCAGACAGACAGACAGACACACACACACACAGAGTCCGTTTTATTCCAAAAGCATTTAATCCAATTTCTCAATGTTTTCAAAAACAGAAAGATCCAAATCAGAGGTAAAAAGGAAAATTCAACTCAAGGAGTGATGTTTGCGATCAGGGTCCTGTTCCAGGCACGGCAGCCCCAAAAGGCACCATCTCTGTCCTGGGCCCACCTCAGCCTGTACCCCGCCAGTACCCTATGCCCCCACACCCCAAGAAGCGGCCTGTGCTGGTTAGGGCAGTGGTGACCTCGCCTGGGCCTGTCTGCTGGCCTTCAGTGCCATGCCCTCCCGAGGCACAGTGGGCTACGGGAGGCTGGGGGCCACCAGGCCATGCAGCATGAGGTTGAGCCTCCGGGCCGCTTTGCCTAGGGAGTTGTGGGGCTCGGCCTGCAGGAACTGGAAGAGCTTCTGACGCACCTGGGCCATGACGGAGCCCATGTGGTCCCGGGTGATGGGGTCGCTGTGGTCCAGGTGCATTACCGCCTCCTCTAGGTAGCTGGGGTGAGGAAAAGGGAGCAGCTCCAGGTGGGCTCCAGCAGGTGGGAGGGAGCGCCCCCTGGTGGCTATGGGACCCAGCACAGCTGTTCAGGGAAACCTCCAAACCAGAAGGGAGAGGGGAAGGGAGGGCTTCGAGGGGAGGGAGTAAGGCAGGAGTGGGAGTGTCTTCCACCAAGCAATTCCCTGCCCCTAGCCGCCCCCACTCACCTGAGCTTGAGGTCGGTTCGCGTGCCAAGGTCAGAGGCCAGCTGCTGGATGAGGGAGAGCAGCACAGGCTGTGAGAGCGGGCAAGGGGGCTGCCCAAACACCTGGGCCGGGTCCACCGCTTCACATACATACAGCACCAGGTTCAAGTCAGCGGCTGTCAGGGCCTGCAGGCAGAGGGGGTCGCAGTGTGTGGGAAAGCTTCTCTGGGTTCAGTGTGGTCTGAGAGCGCATAAAGCCGGGAGCTGAGGGCTCTGTAGGCACCAGACTGCCAGAAGCACCCTGGGGGTCCTTCCCCTGGGCCCAGCCTACCTGCTGGAAGGCCTGATTGAGGTGGCCCTGCTGCAGCAGCTGCAGGATGTGGGCCTGCTGGGCCTGGCAGTCCAGGTGGGCAGCAGGGACCGGAGTGCTAGCAGCTGAGCGCATGGCCTGCATGATGCTGGAGGTGACCGCAGCCTGCTGCTCCTTGAGGGCCACACTCACCTCGCCCTTCACAATGCGCTGGACCTGGGCCAGGATGGACTCCTGCAGGCTGCCAGGGGAAGGGAGGGCGCTGAGGTGAACAGGAGCCCCGCCTGACTCTGCCCCAAACCTCCCCCTTGCTCAGTGGCCTGCCCACGCACCTGCCCACAGCCACATGCAGCTGGTGCTGCACCTCCGCCCGGACACTGCTAGACACAGTGGCTGCCATCTGCTCGGTAGCGCCCTGCAGGGTGCCCACCAGGCCACGCAGCTGGGCCAGCACAGGCTCTCTTGCCTCCTGTTCCCGGGCCTTCCGGCTCTTCATGTGGCCCTCCAGCTGCTGTAAGTCTAGGGGGTGACCGTGGGAGACTATGAGGGCCGGTGAGGAGAGGAGGGGGAGGCATCCCTTCCAGCCTCAGGTCATGTGACCCCACTCACATTCCTGCGTGCCCAGCCGAAAGCTCTCATTGATCTGCTGGAACATGGCCTGGCAGCTCTTCTCGAAGGCAGGCAGCACCACGCTCTGGAAGGCCTCACGGTAGGCGGCCTGCATCGGCCCCTGCAAGGTGTCCGCAGCTGCACGGGCGATGGCATCAGTCAGGTTCTGAGGATGGATGGAAGGGCCAGTTGAAGGGCTGAGCTCACCCTGGCCTGGCCGGCCAGCCCCACCAGCCCTGCCTGCCACCTTGGATCCTAGAGCACCTTGGATTTGAGGAGCTTAGAGATGTTCTCCTTCATGGTGCCCTCCACGGCTGTGAGCTTGGTGGCTACCGAGCTGCTCAGCTGGCCGGCCACAGGCTCCAAACTCCGGGAGACACCTAGGGCAGCAGAGGAGGGGTGGGGCCAAGAAGAAGCTTGACAGGTGGGAGACCCATCTCCCACCACGACTACCTGGTACACCCACAAGAGGCTCTGTCCCTGTCCCTGTCCCCAACTCACATGGGGGCACCGTCTTCTTGATCTCGTCCCGGATGCTGCGCTCCAGCCGCCCTGCCACTGCCGATGACAGCGCCTGGGACAGCTGCTGTGTCAGTTGCTCTTGCAACTGCCCACCCCGCTGCTGCCCCTCAGCCAGTGCCCGCTCCAGCCGCCGCTCTGCAGTGTAACTAAGGACCAGGCCTGCAGCAGGTCCCACCCATCCCCTTCTGTCCCGGCCGCCCGAGCCTTCTCCCTGGCACAAGGATACGCTCCTGCTCATGCCGCGTGTCCAGGGCGCGCTCCACGTGGCCCATGACGGTGCTCTGCAGGCCCTCAAGCTGGCTGCACAGGCGCTGCAGGAGCTCCTCCTGGCTGTGCCGCAGCTCTGCCAGCTCTCTCTGCTGCTGCCACAGGACCGCTGGCCAGTCCTTGGGGGGCTCTGCCACCTGCCAGGGGGCACCAGCAGTCACAGAACTTCTGGCCTCCCTCTCCACCCCCTCCCCAGGCCCGCCGACATTCCAGAACCCTCCAGTAGACAGGGTGCAGCCTTGCTCACCTGGTGCTCCGTCAGCCGGGATCCCACAGCCAACTCCCTGCCACGGGCAAGAACCACCTCAGGCCTCAGCAGGCAGCCTGGTAACCAAGCCCTACCCCTGGCCCCAGGTTGCCCCCTTACCCGTCCTCCTTCTTGCCCTTCCTCTTGAGCTTAGGGGAGGCCCGAGGGGACCCCTTGGTCTTCCAGTCCTTGGTAGGCAGCCGTGGTGTGGGAACGTTGCTGCTAAAGCCCCCTGAGGCAGTGGCTAGGCTGGCCACCTCGTCATCGTGGTCACTATGGGAAGCGAAAGGAGGGAGAAGCGCTGGTCTCCTCACGGCCTGGCCCCCGGCCCCGGGTGGGGAGGGGCTGCCGTGACTGTGAGGGGGCCCCCACCTCTGCTCGGCACTGGTGTCCTGGCTCTCGTGTTGCGGCAGCAGGTGGTACGGTGGCCGGTGGAAGGCCAGGCTCTTGTGCTTCTCCTGGAGGCCGTTTCTGGGGCTGGGGCGGAGGAGCAGGCCATCTCAGCCGTTGAGGCCTCTGCTGCAGCCCAGCCCCCAGCACCCTGCCCCTGCCCTCCCACACTCACCTTTCCGCCAAACTGCTGCAGGTTTCCCGAGTGATGTCGGGGGCTGTGGGCCAGACCTGACTCTCGGGGGCCGAAGCCTCCTGGGTTAAGGCTGCTTCCAGCAGAGAGGGCGCACTATGCCGATCGCCATCCCCAGAGCTCCCATCCAGGTCCAGGCCACGCTGGGGGCCCAGCTCGGTGGGCGTCGGCCGGGGCCGTGGGGACAGCAGATGGAGCGCGGAGGCAGCAGAGGCCATGCTGTTGGGCTCGAGGCCAGCAGGACAAGCACCCCGGGACAACGCCTCTGAGGCGATCTCGGGGATATCCTGGGACAGGGCCGTGGAGGCCGAGGAGATCACGTCCGGGGAGCGGGTCCGGCTGGGTGAGGCCTGAGGTGGCCCCAGGGGCTCCACTTCCTGCAGCTCCAGGGACAGCGAGGCGGCAGCAGTAGGCACCTAGGTGAGCCAGACATGGGTGAGCAGAGACATGGCAGCAGTGGCAGTGAGGAGAAACACAGGTAAGAAACAGGGCCAGGCCCAGCAGGCAAGATGGAGAGTGGGAAGTCTGAAGTGATGCCGCCCCGGGGCACGGGGGGCTGAGGGGACCTTGTCGGGGGAAAAGGGGCTCTGGACGCAGAGCAGGAGCAGGAGCAGCAGGCAGGGCTGCAGGAGGAGACTGCAGTTGTCTCTGCAGGTCACACGCACCTGCATAGGCCCCTTGGTCAACTTGTCGGCTGGCCCCGGGAGCAGGCCAGGCAGGAGGCTGCGTGGGCTGGCCTGCAGGCTGCCATCCAGCTGCAGCTTGGGGCTCAAGGTCAGCTCCTCGGAGGGCCTGGGGGCAGCAAGGCTGAGGCATCAACACAAGAGGACTTGCCACCGCTTGTCATTAGCCTCTGCCACGCCCCCACAACCCTGGCCCTACCTCACCTCACCTGGGCAAGGAAGGGGCGTCCACGGCTGGGGTGCTGCTAATGGCAGACACGGCTGTGAGAGAGGAGCTGCTGCCGCTACTACTGCTGCTGCTGCTGCCCGGGGACACGGTGATCTGGGAGAGGTAGAGTGAGGGCTGCGGTCTGGGTCGGCGGGGGGCTTCTGGGTTGCCAGCCCGGGGCCCCCGCCTCTGCTGCACACCTGCTGCAGGGAGGCGCTGGGCGTCATGAAAGCATCAGGCGTCATGAGCTTGGGCTTGGCCTCACTGCTCAGACTGAGGAAGTCGGCGGGGGCAGGTAGCTCCACGAGGCGGTGCAGGTTGGGCTGGGTGCTGGGAGAGGCCGAGCTCAAGCCATCGGCACTCAGTTCAGACTGAGCCTCTCCAAATGCTGCTGTGTGAGGCGGTCTCGGGCCCCAGTCCATCTGACCCCCTGCACTCCTCCCCCTGCACTCACCAAAGTCCTCTGGGGCCGTGTGCAGGGGGAGCGGCGCCACTACATCGGGGCCCAGCTGAGGCTGGAAGCGGATCTGTACATCCTGCAGGGCTCTGTGGGAGAAACAGGGATGGAGGGAGGACTCCGAGGGGCCTCGGCTGGGCAGGGTTAGGCGGCACACTCACTTGGTATGGATGCAGAAGAGCTTGATAAGCACGCCGGCGGCAGACTCTACGGCCCCAGCTCCGTGGGAACCATCTGGATGGATGGCATGGAAAACTGAGCCCCAGCCAGGGGCACCTCGGCCCTTACCTAGCCCCCGCCGTCCCCGTCCCATCCCCCCCACCCCGTCTGTGGAGCCCTACCCAAGCTCACCAGTCCCCAGGCTGTCACTCTCCTCCTCGGCTGGCAGCACCTCTGTGTGGCGCAGGCGGCAGCGGCTCACCATCTGGATGCCAAAGCTCAGCACGGGGTGGGTGAGCAGGAACTCCGAGATGGAGCTGAAGCAGGCATGGCCCTCCTCCTGGTTCTGCAGCAGCTCCATCACATAGAGGACCTGCATGGCCAGGGTGGCCATGCTCAGGCTCAGCTTGGGCTGAGGCTGGGCTGCTGTCCCTGTCCTTGCCCTTTCCCTCCCAGGGCCCCACTGCACCTACCTTCCGTTGTACATCGCTGAGAATCAGGTACTCTGCCGAGAGGTCCAGGCAGACCTTGAGGCTGGGGAGCACGCTCACTGAACTGAAGATATCTGGGGAAAAGCTGGGGAGCCACCGGCAGGGTCAGGGGCCCGAGAGGATTAGAGGAACCCACCCCCTGGAGCCCCGGGGGCTGCAAGCCTGCCCACCGAATGGTCTGCAGGCAGGTCCAGGACACGGTGCACCACATCTTCAGCTCCCGGTTCTGGTCGGCACCAGTGATCAGGAACCTCCAGAATGGGACCCTGCGGAGCAATCAGGCGCTGGCTGCCTTGACCCTGTTGGGAGCCCCCAGCCCACCCCTCCCTCAGCCCCCCAACCCACCCACTCACTCAGGGTCCTGTTTCTTGTGGTTGTCACAGAAGAGCAGGCAGGAGAGGGGCCTACCGTCATGAGGTTTCCACTCATGCAGGCACCTGCAGCCGGGCAGATGGGGCCAGAGGTGGGGGCTGGTCCTTTACCTGAGGTGGGGGTGGGGGTTCCAGTCCTGTAAGCCCTACCTTACCTGGGCTCATCCTGCCCCTCGATGTAGATCTGCCAGAACTTGACATAGCCATCATGGCTGGCAGTAGCCAGCACAGTCCCGTCAGGGGAGAGGGCCCCTTCACTCAGGCACTGGAAGAAACCAAAGAGCCTCACTCAGTCCGCTGCCCTGCCCAGACGAGCTGACGGGAAACCTGGGTCTGCAGGACGGGCGCTGCAGGAGAGGAGGCACTATGTGCTCCCAGGACTCTGGGGTGGGGGCCAGTGAGAGTCCCGAGGAAGAAGGGTGGCTCACCGTGCTATGGCCTTTCACCACGATGAAGCCCTGCTTGAGCTGACTCACATCCACGGGCCAGGTGTGGTGGCCCGAGCGCAGCATGTCCAAGTCCCACACCTCAGCCTGCAGGGGAGAGGGCAGTGAGCACTTGGCTGGCCCGCAGGGGGGCAGCTCGGCCCAACCCTGCCCAGCCTTGTCACCCACCCGGTCCTCGTGCAGCAGGGCCACTGTGGGGCTGCCCTCCTCGCAGCAGTCCTCGCTCTCCTCCGGGATGAAGGGGCACCAGATGATGCGGCGGAAGTGGTTCAATGGCGTGCCCTCGGGCTGCCGGATGTGGATCAGGATCTCTTCCCTGGGCAGGGTGTTAAGGGCCAGGCGGGTGGCAAGTCGGCAGCTGAGCTCCCCTCTGTGCACCCTGCCAGAGCCCTCCACCACTCTAGGGACAAGGATACTGGATTTTGCCATTAACCAGGGCCAGGCGCCACACGAAGAGGTTCCCTGCCTCATCCAGGCAGGCCAGCTGTGGGGAGTTGCGGTGGGCAAAGGCCAGGTCGGCTACGCTGCCCATGAAGCCCTTGAGCAGGGTGCGCTCCGACGTACCCACGCTGATCACTCGCACCATCGCTGAGCCGTTGTTGGCAGCTGGGGCCAAGATAGCGGTGGCCTGTGACTGCTAGGCCCAGGTGGCATCAAAGGCCTGCCTGGCCCCGCTGCCACCACCCAAAGCCCGGCAGAGGGTGGGATAGCATAGACAAGCATTCCACCATGCGCCTAGCAGCAGGCCGCCTTCACTCACCCCGAATGGCATAGGCCAGGAAGGAGTTGGACACCGCGATGAGATTGCCATAGTAGTACTTTTGCTCCCAGTCATACTTGGCGACTGGTTGGATTTTCACCTGGGAACCAAGAGTGGGCAAGGTCACAGAAGCTGAGGAACTGACAGGTGGCTTCCCCAGAGCCCTGTAGTCCTTACCAACCCTCGCTGCTGGGGAAGGGAGAGGCTACAGGTGTGAATCCAGCCACCCATTCACCCAACCAACAGCCCCTGATTGCCTGAGACCGGGGTGCCATGTGTTTGGCCAGGTGACCCTCCCAGCACTGACAGCATCGAGGAATCGGGGATGGCAGCAGCAGGAGAGCAGCAGGTGTGCTCCCAGCACCCCCGCAGGCCACGGCATTCTGTGCCCACCTTGTTGCTCCCCCGGGCCTTGCTTGAAATGCTGGAATCACTGCTGGCCACAATCTCCACTTCCTTGGCCAAAATGCCAATGCATGTAGAACTGTCATCTCCAGAGAGGCAGCTAGTAGAGAGAGGGGCACACATGCTGGTTTCTTGTTCACCCCAACGCTTGACAGACAAGGGGAAGGCTTACATCACAGGCTCCCTGGTGAAGGATGTTAGGGCCACATCAGCCCCGAAGCCCCCCAACTCACCTCCCTCTTATGAAATAAGCCTCACTCGTTCAAAACTCACTGCCATCAAGTCGATACTGACTCACAGCGACCCTATAGGCCGAGGGTGGAACTGCTCCTGAGAATTTCTGAGACTGTTGATCTTTACTGAAGTAGAAGTCCCATGTGTCTCGCGAGGAGCATCTGGTGGCTTCAAACTGCTGACCTTGCGGGTAGCAGCCCAAAGCATAGCAAACTGTGCTACCGGGGTCCTTTGGAATGAGCCTAATTCACTGTTTTTTTTAAAACCAGGCACCCAAACTGGTCAAATCCAGTCCTAACCCCTCCTTCCCAGGCGAAGCTCAATGAGCCGCAGTGTTCACCTCAGGCCTCAGAGAAATGACAGAAGAGGTTGTCAGCCCCTTTCTCTCCTCATCTCCAGCCCCTAGTCAAAAGGCTGCCCCAGAGTACCCCCACCCCCCAGCACTCACATGACCTGCTTCTCTTGCAGGTTAAGGGGTGGCATGGCTCGGAGACCAGGCTTGCTTGTTGAGGTACCATCACCTGAGCTGAGGGGGTCTGGAACCAGGAGCCCATTGAGGTCCCCATTGTAGGTGTTGGATGGCCGCTGGTTCTCTGCAGGGGCACCTGGAAGCAGACAGACCACCCCGATGAAGTGGTCAGCCCTGCTCACTGGCCTCTCCTCCGGCAGAGCTTCCTTCCAGAACTCTGTGGGCTTCTTAGAACCCTTGCTCAGAAGAGGCATGCCCATGGGGAGGAGAGTGACGTGAGCCTTCTGCTCCTGCCTGTCCCATAGTCCAGTGTGCGCCAGGGCCAGAGATGAACGTGAAGCCCCTCCCCCTTGGGGATTGCCCTCCAAACCCAGTTTAATAATCGGGCGCAACAGAGCCTGGGGTGGGAGGGGGGCTCTGCTCACATGAGGGCGGGCCTGGGAGGGATCAGACAAGTCTTCATAGTGGATGCGGCATCCCAACCAGCCAGTGTGGCTGGCACATACAAACACAGGAGGGAGGTGGTGGCCCAGGCAGCTGCCAGTCTGCAGCACACAGGATGGTTGGGACTCAGAGAGCGAGCAGTGCCTGACCCAAGGTGCTGACCCAGTGACAGAGGGGTGGCGTGGAGAAGATGCACCCCAGATAAGACATGGGGGTGAGACAGGAGGAGGCTGATCCACCCAGACATGGATCTGAAGATGCCTCCACGGGCAGGTGAACTCAGCCAGAATGGACACTGAGGAGCAGGACACACAGGAGGGAAAATAGGTGGTGCCGGGGAAATAGCATTTCGGTTGTCTGTCACTGGCTGCGCCTTAAGCACCCTCACAGGCTCGGTCAGGCAACACTCCCTAAACTCCCAAGGGGCAGGGAGACATGGGCTCCACATTCAGGTCCAGAGGACATTTCTGGATGAAATGACACCTCTCTGGCACTGGCCAGCTACCACGAGGACAAACTGCAGGCCCAAGCTGCCCAAGGTAGCTTCTAGCCAGGTGCGCCAAAGTCTAGTTCCTGCCACAGCTGAGGAGCCAGTGCAGCAGGTGGCAAGGGACAGAGGTCTCAGGCAGCACGTGGAGATGGCTAAAATCACCCAATGCTTGTTTCCAAAAAGCAGGCCTCCCAACAAGCATTGAAGAGGGTCTGAGAAAATGATTCTCGGCCTCGGCTGTTGAACACCCTGCCACCATCACCAGCTAGTCCTTTAACCATGACGGGTTTCCAGAGGTCCTGGACCTGTCAGGAAGGATGGCTGCCTGGACAGTACTGTCTCCTATGTGTGGGTGGAATGCATGTGCCAAGACCGACCCCAGCGACGGCCCTTTCTCTCAGACCTGCTCTGGGTCCAGGAGAGCCTGCACTTTTCCATTGCGCCCACCCACCACAGTTATTTTACAACCCTGTCCTTAGTGCTTTGGTGTTCTGGGGGCTCCTTGAGAGCAGGCGCGGCTGAGGTGTCAGCAAACTCAAGATTAAATGAATGGAAACCTTCCACTGAAGGTCTGCAGGCATTTGTGGCCTAACCTAATCTGGGTCTGTGCAATCTGATTTGCCTTCATCCCAGAACAAGCGCAGAAGCAGGGCCGGCCACCTTCCTCCTGGAATAGTTTCAGCACACCAGGAAGGATGAGCTGCAGAGGGCGGAGGCTCCCTGGCACAGCACCGGGGGCCCGGTACACAGGGCCCGGATCAGGCTGCTCGCTGCACCGTGGCGAGAGTAGAGGCGCGGCGCCGGTCACAGGTACACCAGCGGAAGAACCCACGGATTCGGGGAAGAGCTCTCACCTTCAGCCTAGGCGCTGAAGGACGAGGCCACCCAGCCCCGGGCCGGGATGGGGAGGGGCCGCAGGCGGGGTCTTGGCCTTTCGCGGTGCGCTCCTCAGGGGCTACGCCGCTGACCCAGGCGAGCCTTTCCCAGCCGGGGGAAGCCCAGAGCCGGTCTTCAAGAGCCTCGAGAGCGGATCCGGCCCGCGCCGCCCTGCCGTCAGCCCGCCGTGCGCCCCCCTCCCCGGCTCTACTTACCCCCCGCGGGCCGGTCCAGCTTGAGAATGTCCCGCAGATGCTGCGTGGCGTCCTCGATGTCGATGCTCGCGCAGGAGGAGGCCATGGACCCCGCGGCGGGCGCCGCGCCCGCGATGGTTCCTACGCTGCCGCCGCCCTGCCGTGCACCGCCGGACCGGGAGCAGAGAGCGGGGCGCGGGGCACAAAACAATCCACCCGAAGCCCGCAAACCGCCGCCCGCACCGCGTCCCTGAGCCCCGCCAACTCCACTAACCGCCTCCACTTCCGGCCCGCAGGATCTCGGCTCCCGGAATCTGCGCGGAGCTGAGAAGAAAGGTTCCGGGCTCGGGCTGATGCCCAGCCCCCTCTCAAGTGTCTCAGGCGGAGTTAGCGGGGCACCGGGGAACGACGCGGGGATCCAGCGGAGCGTGCCCACGCGAAGGCGCGGCACAAAGCCGTATGCGCTCCGAAAACCACTGGCCCATACCCACTTCCGGGGCGAGAAACGATGGGTTTAGTTCAGGGTCAAGCCAGCTGCCCAGGCAGCAGATGCTCACCGATGAGCAGGAGCGCAGCAGGGCTCTCTCTTGGTCCTAAGGCCTAGAAATGGGAATGGCCAGGTAGATGGTCTCATCAGTGTTCCTACTGCCCCCACATCCCCTTGCCCCATATGGCACCCTCAGGCAGGAAGAAAGAAGCCATCATTTACAAACACTTCTTTATTGCAGACATTTCAGGCACAGGTACATGGATGCAGCGGTATTGCAGATTTTATACAGGGTGGTTTAGAGGTCCCTGGCCAACCCCCTACCCTCCCATTCACAGCAGCCCCGAAACCAGGCCCATTGAGAACTCCTGAGTTGGCCATCATGTCGAGAAACAGACCACACCCAGCCCTGTGCCCAGTACAGCCAGGCGACTTGGGGGCTTGAGGAAGACTTCTGTCTTCCATCTACAGTGGAGGGGTGGGGTGGGGTGTTTCTGGGTCAGGCTTAGAGGTCTTGCCTTTGCCAATCCTAAGACCTCCCCCTAGCTGGGGCATTAGCCCAAGTCCTGAGGTTGGTTCTAGTCTGCAACTGCCATCTTGTTTACCCCACTGGGTGGTCTCAAAACTGAGCAGCAGAAAAGGCCCCAAGAACTGACTTCCTGGGACTAGAAGACAGTGTGAAAGCATGTGTGGCCATGGAGGGGGCAGAAGGGCACCCTAGAGATGCCCTACAAAGATTTGAAGGGTGAGACATCCAGGGATATGAAACCCTCAAAATCAGACTCACGATAGCCTTCACCCACAGCTCCAAATCTATGCTCGACTCAACAGCTTGGCTTAGCTCTGTGGTCAGAGACAGGGCATTCTTACCATCCAGAACCTTTGGGCAATAATACATTGAGCAGGTAGGACAGGATCACAGTTGCCCTCTGCTGGCTTAGGGGTGGGGGTGGGGTAGGAGCACTTTGGATGAGATCCTGGCTCTTCCGGGGATAGAAGAGAGCAGGCCTCCTTTAACTTGCAAACCTTGGCTCATAGATATCTTGAAGCTAGAAGACGCGGACCCAATGAGGTTTCCGCCAAGCTTTCTTCAGCTTCCAAGGGATTCAGAATCCACCTTCTTCCTAAGAGGAGCTGGCTGCCGGAATCAGTGACATCTTTCTTGCTTCTGGAGTCCTAACCCTACCCAGGGCAGAGGCCACCAGGAGTCAGAACAGACCAGAGCCCTCCCCTGTCTGCAGCTCACTTCCCAGAGGCCAGGTGGAGGGAGAGACTCTGGCTGCGGGGTGCAGCTTCAGCAGCTGTTGCCTTCCTGTTCCACCAACAGGCATTACCGAGTTAGGGCAGAAGTGGGCAGGTGAGAGACATTGGGGCAAGGCAGCTCTTGGTGACCAGCCAACTCTTAAACTAAGTAAAACAATCTCAACTGTTAAGAAAATTTTTGTGGTTTTATTGTATAATGAGGCATTGAAACATCTGAACAAATCAGTATCTGGGTGGTGAGGCAGCTGCTTTCTCCTTCACTTCTTTGGGTTACTAGAGCAACTTGTCAGTAGATTTTTTTAAAAAGAAAAAAAAAAGAGGGACAACTTTTTGCATTACTTAAGTCTTTCCAAGGCATGCGCTGGTACAACACAAACTTCTGTCAGATGCGACTAGCTAGTGTCCAAACATCATGCACAGCACCTGGGTGGCAGCAGCGCACTGCGCCCCTCCCACTGCGGCCGAGCTGGTGCATGATGTTTGGAGCATCTGGAGGAGTGTGAATAGTATCGGGAGGAGGAGGAGGACGAGGAGGAGGGAGGAGGAAACAGCGTGAGTGCCTGGCTGGGATGAGGTCAGCCGAAGTTGTGCAGAGCCAGCCTGAACATGTCGTTGGTGCACACCCAGGCATCGTTGATGTTCTTTAGTAGGAACATCTGGTGAAAGCCCATGATAGGGTCTTCATCGGCCTGTGGGAAGAGGAAATGGGAAGCTCAGTCAGGGCACCTCAGAGGGGGAGAACAGGTTATGAACACCACCTTTGGGACCTCGTCTGACTGTCCTGAGCATAAAAACCATAGCCAAGGAAGACCGTGGCAATGAACCGACAGATGCCTGACCCACGGCACTGGGCCCAGAACTGGGGTCAGGAGAGACTGCCCTCAGTGCCCTGTCCTTCAACGGCATGAGTTGCAGTGAGCTCAGCAGCACAGCAGACACACCATCCGGCGTGGGCACCAGGGACCACCATTGGGAAGAACCCTGGAGTGCTTGCTGCATCAAGAAATGAGGGAGCATCAAAAAGTTCAGAGAAAAATCCCACTTCCCCACAAGCCTTTTGAAAGTCCCTAATAAAGAGTATTAAAACCTGCAAACATTCTATGTGAAACTATCTGCCAGTCCCATGCAAATTGCTCTGAATGCTGCTGACTGGGGCCGGCCAGAAATAAGTCTCTGAGAAAAGATTCCAAACTCTCAATGGGACCATAGCTCTACAGGGATTTACCCACCCAGACCTTAAAAAAAAAAAATAAAAGCACAGCCATCAGCTGATTTGTTTCCCATCATGTAATGTATGTATGACATTTACAATGAAAGATTAAAGGAGACACTTCTAGCCAGACTGCAGAAACCCAGGGGAGACTCAGCTGAGGTACCGGTCTGGCTGACCATCCTGATGTCTAACATCATCTGCTGTTCCAGGAATTACCAGCAGGAAGCAAACCAGGAATTACCAGCAGGAAGCAAACCAATCTTCTTTTGGGGGCTCTCAGTTGAAGCACCTGAAACCAGCAGGGAAGGGACGAGCACACTCTTTTTAGACTCTGCCAGGCTAAGTGGGCACTGAGTTCCCTGGAGAGATCAGGCAGGCAGGTCCCTTGGCAACCACTGCCGAGGCTTAGCTGCCTTCCCTACCCACAGCACTGCTTTGGGAGAAGTCACGTGGGCTTGTTATGCTGAGTCCACGATGATACACAGGCCTGGTGAGTGGGTATTGCAAGGGGAAGTCAACTGGTCCTGCTGTGGGAAAGAGGAGAAGCCTGGAGCTTTTTGGAAAGAGAAGCTGGCCTTGGCCCGCTGGGCACATAGGAAAAGGTGCCTAGGAGAGCTTGAGGCCAAAGAGCCCCAGTTCCAGGTCCTGATGTGTCAGCCAGACCCCCACAAGGGGACTGCAGGCCCACCTATACCTCATGGCATAGGTCCTGGCCCACCTTCTTTTCCAAATGGCTTAGGCCACCGTACTCTCTGATAACAAGCCACTACCCATGCTAGACTATCCAACACTTGCAATATAACTAGTTCAACCCCAGAGAGTAGAATTTCTTCTCAGTTCATGCAATTTAAACGTGGCTAGTGGCTGCTGCATTGGACCACACAGCTCTAGTCACTTTGTCCAGGTGACCTTGACAAGCAGACCATGCCTACAAGGCTCTCTTCTGCCTGTCAGCTCCTCCTTAGCACCTCAGAAGTGCTGTTACCTTCAGCTGGCCCACAACCATGCTGAGGATGCAGCTATCTGGCGTGGGCTGATGGTCCTGCGACGTGATGCTGTGCTGGATTTTCTGGAACGGAAGGCTCTGCAAGACAAAGAATGGGCAGGGGCTAAGTGGGAGCCGCAGGGGCGGGCAGACAGGCAGCCCACACTCAGTCCACAGTATGACTTACAGACAACTTCTCCACAATGGCAGCTTTCCCCTGGAACTGCTGTCCTTCCCACGTAAGGCATGATGCGTCAATCTGGGGGTGAAAACCAAGCACCAGAAACCCCGGGGTCAGGGCGCACCAGAGACCCGGAGGAGTGCCTCTGAGGGCCCTGGCCGTGGCTCTGAACGGGGTCTTGTGTGAGAAGTGCATCAGGACTCCCATTTCCCATGTGTAACCTGGTGGCCACTTCTTTCTGGACACCCACTGCCCCATGGGCCCAGGCTCAGTCAAAAGCCTGTTTAACAGAACACATCCTGTGATAAGTTCAACCCCCAGTTTTCATTCAAGGACTCATATGACTTTGATATCCTGGTTGGCCCCTTGTGGCTCAGCTAGAAGCCACCCAGATGTGTTCTCAGCACTGGTCCCAGTGTTGACCATCAGACACAACTCTTTGTCTGCCTTGTTCATCAGTCCCTCCAGGGCCCTGGCTGTGTTGTGAGGCCTCTCAGGTCAGGGACAGAGGGCAGGCTGACAGGCTCATGCATTGGCCTAGCCCTTCCCCTCCAAGTCCCCTCTCCTACAGCCACCAGTGCAGAAATGAACAGTGTCTCTGATACTTACCAGCAGGCCAGCTACATATTTCTCTGAGTCTCAGGATCCTAACAGTCAGAGGGCAACATGCTGAGGATTTTTTTTAAATCATTTTATTGGGGCTCATACAACTCTTATCACAATCCATACATACATCCATTGTGTCAAACACATTTGTACATTTGTTACCATCATTTTAAAAACAATTTCTTTCTACTTGAGCCTTTGCTATCAACTCATTTTTTCTCCTCTCTCCCTCCCTCCCTCCTAAATCATTTGTAAATTATTATTTCTGTAAGGGGATGTTCAATTGTCTACAAATGGGCTTTGAGTCTCCATACCATACTCCCCCTCACTCACAATGATATGACTTTTTTGTTTGGGGTCTTTGATGCCTGATACCTGATCCCATCGACACCTCATGACCACACAGGCTGGTGTGCTTCTTCCATGTGGGCTGTGTTGCTTCTCAGCTAGATGGCCGCTTGTTTGTCTTCAAGCCATGCTGAGGATTTTTATGGAAACGATGCCCAGAGAGCACAGTTTGAGGGATTCATCAGTTTTGAGGAGTAAGGAGGCACCGAATAGTGCATTCTTGGGATCAAACAGACAACAGCAACTCAAAGGAGTACATGGGAACCTCAGCTAGCAGAGTTCAGGTTAGTCAGGGACGAAACCCTCAGAGAAGGGTGGCACAACAGAACTGATGTCACGGAATTACACACGTAGAAACTTATTAAGGTGGTATATGTTTATAAGGATGGGGTGGAGGGGGAAGGAAAGAAGGGCAGTATGGGGCAGACATGCTAGAACCCCCAAGATCAGTTCCAATTTCTTTGCTGTTCTCTATCGAGTAAGAGCCTTGGGGGGGTAATGGGTTTCCTACTGGCTGTAAACCACAAGGTCAATAGTTTGAACCCACCAGCCACTCCTGTAAAGAAACCTAGAGAGGCAGTTCTCTCTATCCTGTAGGGTCTCTGAGTCAGAACTGACTGCATGGCTGCGAGGCCGATGAAAATGACGATCAGATCCCACCTGTGTGGAAATGGTCTCTACTGGACCCTGACTTTTGGGAGGGGACACAGGTTTTGCCCAAAGTCCAGTGAGGCTCTGAAGGCATGCCTGGACAAATCACCACCTTCGGCAAATATGATAGGCAGGAGCCTGACCGATCACAGTTCTGTGCTGGAATCTTGGCAAGGCCAAGTACAGGCAGCTCTGGGTGCACATGAACGCCCCAAAAAGGACGGCCCACAGCTTCCTGGGAGACACACCAGTCTCCTTCAGGTAAACCCAACTGGATCCCATACGCCCGGGGCCTCCAGGAGAGCACAGCATTGTACTAGAATGCTCAAGGCTGCCGCCACCAGACGGCCCCACGAGCTCTGGCCTGTGCCACTGATGCCCCAACTGAGAGCAAGAGGCATGTCCTGCATCATGGGCCCTGCTGGGGTCCCAGCCACATGGAACAAGATGGCCTCTCTACCCAGGGCCCCAGAAACCTCTTTGTGGACATGAGCTGGATGGACTGGCCCAACATTCCAATAACTGGGCCCCAGAGTATGAGACTTACATAAATTGCACCCAGTTGGGTTCTGTCGTTATCAAATAACTGGTAGTAATGCTGAATGAAGCTGGATCCAATCTGTTCCCAAATCGGCTTGTCTCCCATTCTGGGGCGTTGCCCGGCCTCGTGGACACCTGCAGGACCAGAGACCAGGAAGGGAGAGAGAGTGGGTGCTCAGGGAGCAGGATGGAGCCAGTGGCTGGCTCTTCACTGCCCGCCCCCCCCCTTCCCCAATCCCCCTTTGCTGAGTCAGCTCTCCCAGGGAACACTGTGAGGTCCTGGGGAACTGGTAAGAAACCCATTCCAACCAGCCCTGTGCAGGGAACCTGGGCCAGACTCAGCCCCTCCTTAGAGGACCTCCCGGTGGCCTGGGCAGAGGAATGCTAGGCTAGGGAGCACTCCTGACACAGGGCAGGTGCTGAGGGTCAAGTTGACTGTTAGGGCTAAGAGCAGGCAGGGCAGGCCCTTCCACACCAGCTTAGGCAGTGGTTCTCAGCCTTCCTAATGCCTCAACCCTTTCATACAGTTCCTCATGTTGTGGTGACCCCCCAAGCATAAAATTAGTTTCATTGCTACTTCATACTTCTTAACTGTCATTTTGCTACTGTTATGAATTGGGCAACCCCTGTGTTGGACCCACAGGTTGATAGCGGCTGCACTAAGGGAACTCCTATAACCTCTCCTCCTCTCAGTGACCTGGAAAATCACAGTCCCGCTTTGTGGACCAGAGCAGCTGGCATGGGGCATTCTGTAGCTCTCAGGGTCTGGTCCTTCCTCCTGCTGACTGCCCTTAGCACCCAGGCCCCCAACACTAGCCCAGGGAAGAGCTAGCAGCGGGAGAAGACCCTGTGAGAAGAGGAAAGAGCACTCCCCAAGCCCCACCTCCAGGGACGTAGGTCTCGAGGGGCGGTTTCCATTTATGTGGAGCCCGGGCCCTTCTGGGGCATGGATGAATCACCCACACCCCGCCAACCCCCCGTGATTGGGAGCTAGGGCTGGCTTTGGGGCTGAGGGGCCTAAAGGGAAACGGGTGCAGCACGCTGCTATCTCCTCTCATATTTCCTTCACAGCTTGGTCTCTGTCCCAAGGCACTGTCCCTTTTGGGTCACTGACAGAGACTGGTTCCCCAGGAGCTGGGTGGGAAATCCAAGTCCCAGATGAGGGCCACTCTGACTGTGCTCGGCTCCTCCCAGGCAGGGAGGCCACATCTCACTGCAGGATGCCACGCAGGCACCCGTGTCCTTCTGGAATCTTCTCTGGCTGTGGGGGAGCCATTCTCGCTGCCCTGAGCATCTGGCTAGAAGCAGGGGTGGGGGTGGGGGGTGGGCAGGACCCTAGCCAACGACTATCCCCAGTGCGACTATCCCCAGTGCAGGGACCTGTCTAGTGAACTTGCTGCTCTCCTCAGGGGCTTGGCCTCCTCTGTAAGATTGGCAACCGCAGCCCAACTCAGGCTTCCGAAGCTCATCGCAGAGCAGCTCCTTTCCACCCTAGTCCCTGTGACCTCACTCAAGGTCAGAGGAGCCAGATAGGAGGGACAGTGGCTTATCTCCAGCTCGGCCTATCCCCAAACTTATGACCAACACTTCAGCCAATCAGGGTCTGGAAAAAATGAGCCCGCTTTATTTTTGGTCCCTTAGGAGGTAGTGGTACTAAAAATAGAAGCTTGGTGCCGGGGATGACTAGGATAAGTCCAGGAAAGCCTCGAACACACAGGAGAGGAGGTGGCTAGGGTGGGCCCAGACACAGGACAGGGAGTGTCCCAGCGCCCAGGCCCTGCACTGTCTGGGTCACACATCCCTCTGCCCTTTCCACCCTTGGGACCCACTCAGCCTGGTGGACCATCCTGGCTTCCTTGGTGAGACCCTCACTCCAAGATGCCTTGACAGCCCCCAGAGTGCCAAGGCAGGAGGCTGGGGCTATCCCTCTCTGTGCCCTTGATTAGGTGGCCCACCCAGTGGGGTCTAGGAGAAGAGTCTGCTGATCAGAAGCCGCAGCCCCAGGCATTTGCTGAGGCAGCAAGCTGGGTGGGAAGCGGAGCTGCAGACCAGCAAAGTGCCACCATGTGGTGGGATGGTGGGGCAGAGGAAGTGTGGGAGTGTTTTTTCCTTTCTCAAGATTGCTCTTATTAGTGTGTGAATTTAATACAAAAACTATTTGGCAAGGAAGAAGGGTGGGGCAGGTAGGGCAAAGGAGGCTGGAGTGAGCTCTCCGGAGGGATAAGCCAGCCCAGGGCTCCCAGGAAGCATGAGAAGGCACCTTTCAAACTCTGAGGACTGAGGCCTTTGCTCTGCAGATGCCAGGAGCGGGCTCTGCCTAAGAACTGGAAGCCCTGTGGCCAGCACTGAACTTGCAGAGGCCTGCACCACCTTCATAAGCTTTATCACTGGCATTGCTCCAACAGGCAGGTGGTCAGGGCCCACTGCCAGCCATCCCACTTTACAAATGAGAACACCGAGGCCTTGCCCCAAACTTGTCCAGTCCATCAGGCTGACAGCAGGTCCTTTCTCTGGACACGGCCAAAGCTTTCCTTCTGCAAGCTCTGGGCAGCCCTGAGCCTTTCTAAAACACAAAGCTGGTCATGGCCCTTCCTAAGAGCCCCCTCACCTTTAGGGTAAAGGCCAGACCCCCTGAGCACTGCAGGTGACCACCCACACCTGTCCTCACCTCCTAGCCACTAGCTCCTCTTTCATTCTACATCTCCACACCAACATCAGACCCCAGTGGGTGCATGCTCACCAGTTTTCTGCAGTCAGTTGAATGCCTTCCCTCCCTCACCTGTCTGGTCAGTGCCAGCTCTTCCTCTGTTACCACTCAGGACCCACCAACTTGGGGGTGCCATTCCCGACTCAAACACTGACCCCCAACATGACTCTGGGTTCTGCTCTCCTACAGGTGCCAAACCCATCCTCCACTCCCTGGCCTGGGGACTCCACTGTGGTTCTGTCCCCTGGACTCCACACAGGCAGGACACTGAGACCTGAAACACTGATGGCTGTGGATTCCATCATTGTACCAGAGCTACTTCCCTGTCCCAGCAGGGAGGCAGCATTCCTGAGTCAGATAAGTCAGGCAGGGTCAGATCCCCCCTCGCACCTCACATCAAACAGGGGAGAGTCCTGGCCAGAGGTGGCCTCACACCAGACTGGGGGCTGACCTGCATGACAGCTTTTCCCACCGCTCTTCCAAGAAGGCCACTGAGCACTTCACCCAACAGTCCGACCTAGCCGTAAGCCCTGGGGAAGCTGGCTTTACCAGCTCTCCAACTTCATCTCCGGCTACCTGCTCCCCTGACCTCTACAGACACACCAGGCAGCTTCCTACTTCTGGAACATGCCAAGCCTATTTGCATTCCAGTGCTTTCAACTCTTAATCTTCCTGCCTGGATCACCCTTCCCTGAGACCATCCTGTGGCCTGGCTCCTTGTCAGGGATGTGTCAAATGTGGCTTCCTCAGGCAGCTTTCTGGCCACCAGTGTAAAGAGCTGTCTTAGCCCATCATTCCACCATCTTATACAATCTTGGCCCTCACAACACTGGGATCGACATCCCTAGCTATTTGCTTGTGGGCAAGGGCAGGGGCCTTGCCCACTGGTCACTGCTGCTCCCATGGTGCCTGGCTCAGTCTTCAGAAAGTGTTGACTACATCTGTGAATACGTGGAAGGCCAGGGGTGGGGGTGGGGGAGCTGCCCTTCTTCTCCAGGAGTGAGTCCTGGGCAAGGTTAGCCCAATGTAAATGGCCGATTCCCTTCCACCCACACTTTTTGGCTTAAATCACAGGAAAAAGCCGTTGTTGTCCATCAAGCGGTGTATTTGTCTGAGGTGGTGTAGCAAGTGGGGCTAGGCCCTAACCCTTTCTTTCAGGGCCAACTGGAGCTGAACCCGCCTCTAGTCCCACTTTCCTAGCACCTCATGAGGTGGTCTCACTTGTAATTGCAGGAATGTCAGGGGAAATCAAAGGGACCAAAGGCAGGATTCAGCTGTGAGGACTTAATGCCTGTTCCCAGGGTGAACACGGGCCAACAGCTAATAGCTGGGCAGGGTTCTGAGCAGCAGACAGCACAGCCCAGAGCTGACCTCCACCCAGGAATGACAACCACTTGGCCCCACTGCCCTGAACTCTGGAGAAATCAGCCGGGTTCTGGTGCCTAGAGGGCTGGTGAGGGCAGATAGCTAGGGTCCAGGGAACTCCAGCACGTGAAGGGTCACCAGGCTGGCTCAGGAGCCAAATTATGAAGCCAGTATTCTGGTCTCTGTGCACAGCATGTGCTCACTGTGAGTCATCTCCTTTTTCTGGGGGATCGGGAGGGGGGGTGTCTTCAGACAATTTCTAGGGTTCTCCTCCTCCTAGACCAGTGGTTCTCAACCTTCCTAATGCTTGACCCTTTAATACAGTTCCTCATGTTGTAGTGACCCCCCCAACCATGAAAGTATTTTCATTGCTACTTCATAACTCTAATTTTCCTACTGTTACGAATCGGGTGACCCCTGTGAAATGGTGGTTCAACCCCCATAGGGGATGTGACCCACAGGTTGAGAACCACTGTTCTAGACAGACTAGACACATGAATGGAGTCTGAGTCCTGAGCCATGGACTTGCCTGTCAGATATGTATGGTTTGGGCTCACCCTGTGGTCAGCAACTACCACCTGGCCTGACCAACACTGCTGCCATACTGGGACAAGTAGGAGACTGAGGGGACAAGCGTGGTGGCGGAGGAGCTCACCACCTAAGAGATGAAGAGACCTTCTAAGAATTTAAGAAAGAGCTGGTCTCAGAATGACCACAAAATGGCCTGCACTGGATCAGCTGAGAGCCAAAGGGGAGCTTTGGAAAGCATACAGGTGGAAAGATCAAGCAGCAAGAAATCGAGCCCAAGCCTCCTTTTGTCCTCTGAAGCCAGGAAGTGCTACCCTTCGATGTAAAGCTAGAGCGCATGCTCAGCAAAGCAGAGCCAGTCTGTTCAGGGCTGCCTATCTTTTCCCACTCAGGTTCCCTTTGCGCCCAAGCAATCTGCAACATGAGCCAGCACCGGAGGAAACACCTTGTTTGATTCTGAATTAATTTCTTTTCTCTGCCTCTTCAGAAACCTTTTACTGTTGCCTAATTTTTCTCAAGCCCACATTCAGTTATGCGACCCCACATGGGGTAGAAACCCAGTATGACATGTTGCTCTATCACAAGATCCACCAACCAAAAGCCTGTATTCACCTGGGGCTAAAACTGTCCACCTGTGGGGCAGGGGCGCAGGAAGTAAGTTAATGAGGCCCTTCTAGCCATACGCTAAGGCAGTAGTTCTCAACCTGTGGGTCGAGACCCCTTTGGGGGTCAAACAACCCTTTCACAGGGGTTACCCATTTCATAACTGTAACAAAATGACAGTTATGAAGTTGCAATGAAAATAATTTAATGGTTGGGGGGTCACCACAACATGAGGAACTGTATTAAAGTGTCGAAGCATTAGGAAGGTTGAGAACCACTGCTCTAAGGAGCCCTGGTGCTAGTGGATTACATGTTAGGCTGCTAACCTGAAAGGTCAGCAGTTTGAAACCATCAGCTGGCTCTGTGAGAGCAAGATGAGGCCTGCTCTGGTAAAAATTTACAGCAGATAAAGCAAATGTTTTGAGAATGATGGCAACAAATGTACAAATGTGCTTGACACAATGGATATATGTATGGATTGTGCTAAGAGCTGTAAGAGCCCCCAATTAAAAACAAACAAACAATACAAATCAGGAACAGGAAACCCTAGGGGGATTGGTCAGCTTTGCCATCCTGCTGCTGGGCTTTATAAAGAGCCAATTCCAGAGCAGGAGGAGAACCTCATACCACTAAGAGGAGCCTGCCTTTGAATATCAGGCCCTGCCCTAAGAACTCCAGGACCCAGGGGACAGAGAACTTTACCACCAGAGATGGCATGGCACAGCAAGCAGCAATTGCAGCAAAGCAACCTGAAGATTCAAGGCTGCACTATGGGCTTCCCAGCCAGTCCAGGCAAGTGGCTCCAGGGGGTCTCTACACCCACAGAACAAGGGAGCTAGCTGTGTGTCCTTAGACAGGTGTCCAGTGGGCACTTATGGCAGAGCAGCAAAACAGCTTTGGAACACTTGCTGGAGGGGCTCAGAGGCTGAAGGAGAAACTGAGCACAGCTGAGGAGTTGTGCTGACTGACTCAGTGTATCCTGCGTCATTCCTGATCCTGAAGTATACCTGTCACTTCCCTAATAAACCACATAATCATGAAATGGTCTGAGTTCTATGGAATTAGTGAAGCCAGCAGTCTAGAGAGCGCCACGGAGGACGGAGGGTACGAGGGAGGTGGTGGTAAAGTTGGTGGGTGGAGGGAGGTATGTCTGGCTTTACCATATGGACATCCACCTCTGGCTGTAGATGCTGATAGTGAGTCTCCCACCCCTTTGATAAGTTTGACTAGAATGTGTGTCACTGGGGTGTTTTTGTTTGTTTGTTTACAATGACTGTCCCTACAAAAGTCCTTGGAAGCAGCAAGCTTTCCAGTGTCTGCCGCGGGCTAGTCTATCTGCGACTTCAGAATCCTCTAATTTTCAGTCAAGCAGCCCGCAGTGCTCCATCTCCAAGGCAGCTCCTCCAGCAACAAAGAAAAGGTAAGGCACAGGGCGGGAGGGAAAGTTCTCAGCCTTAGTGGGTTAGCTAGGGAGAGTATCTCTGGGGCAGATGCACAGGATGAACCCTGGCCCTGCGGTGTCCCTGTTTTCTGGCTACTAAAACATCTCCCCAGCCACAGCTAGACCTGAGTGAATGTATTCATGCTAATCAGTAGGGTGAGAAGGGGCTGGTGTAACACAGGCCTGGAGCCAGGATGACCACAACAATCACATCACCTGGGCCTGGAAGTCACTGCAGGGATAATCCACATAGATTGCTACTCTAGGATTCAGGTACTCTGCCCTGTGTGGTCAAAGCTGGGCGAGTAACCAGCTCAAACGCCACCCCAAGCACACATACATCACCCTCAAAAGGGCCATCAGGAGACCCAGCTCACCACTGGCCTACAGTCATCTCAACTTTTAAAGTCTATCCTGTGGAAAACTTGGGGAACTATCTCATTCCCCTCCCCAAAGGGCACAGCTTCTAGGTCCCCTATTCCTCTGTCCTGGAGGCCTCAAGGAGGATGGGGTGAAACTGAACGAAGCCTCCTTTGATGCCTGTCCCAACCTAATCCCCCAAGGTGATCATTGGTCAAAGGAGCACCCAAGGAACTCCTTGACCAGGTCTGCTGGGCCTCCCACCCTGGGGAGATGTCTTGGGGCCAGTACGCCTACAGCAACTACTCAGTATTTCACATAAGTGTGATGATGCAGGAACCTCCAGGAGCCCTGGTGGCATAACTGGGCAGCTAAGTGCAAAGTCCACAGCTGGAACTCACTAGCCACTCCAAAAGAAATATGAGGCTGGCTGCACCAGTGAAGATTGTTTCAGAAACCCAAAGGCTCAGTTCTACCCTGACCTACAGGTTTGCTATGAGTCAGAATCCACTTGAAGGCAGTAGGTTGGGTGGGGTTTGGTTTATGAGAACGAACCTCAGCAGAAAGAGCACGTCACAAACCCAGACTCCAGCCAGGGCAGTGAGAGGCCCCTATGAAGAAATGCACTAGTGAGACTAGGGCCCCAGGGAAGTCAGCAGCTAGGTTCAACAGTCACAGTATCTGGAGATGATGACCTTGCTCAAGGGTCATCCTTGCCCCTCCTGTGCCCCCAAAGGATGTACACCACTCTGAGAAGGCTGCCGGGCACTGGAAGAGGAGAATCAACCTTTCCCCTTTGGTACTCCAATCATTCCCTTTCTCAGCAGGGCTAAGGACTCCTAATAGCAACATCATCCCTGTCTCTCGCACTGTACCGCTGTATAAAAGGGCTTCAAAAAGAAGAAAAATGGAATGAAAGACAATGGACTCTTCCCATCAACTGTCTGATGTCCACTCCTGTCCCCTTTCCCCAGCACTAGGAAGGGACAGAATTCATGTTTCACCTCCAGCCTCAGCCCCAGAGCAAAGACATCCAGAGATGGTCCAAAGAATGGCTGCTGAACAGAACAGATCCCTGTCAAGACAAGACTTTCAACACCACACGAATGGAGCTTTTGCTATAAGGTGTCTTCCAATCCCCAAGTTTGAGAATTCGGTCTGCCTCTCTGTCAAAGCCACCAAGGGAACCAGGCTTTGAAACACTGGAGAACCCAGGCAGCTAGACACCTTGTCCTGCTACCTGTGCAGCCACATCACAACTGCCCCATCACAAGCTTCGGTTTTTCCAAATCAGCTCTGCAGGAAGCCAGGGAACTGGAGAACCTCAAGGCTCTCTCTCTTATCTCCGAGATCCAGAAGGCTTGTTACATTCCTGAAAGGTCAAGAATGTCTGGGAGCCAGAATGCTAGAAAATGACAAGCTGACCTCCAGATGGAAGTTACAGGAATGGTATCTTTTTGACCCTGGGAAAAGGTGCCCAGCGATTCGGAGTGTGCTAACTGGATCACAGCCAAAAATATAGCTCACCTGAAACCTCTGTCCTAAAGAGAGAGAGGGTACTGAAACAACCGCCATTAGCACTACAAGACTCCACCTCATCCACCCTATCTATGCACGGCACGGTAAACCAGGTCTCTATCCAGCCTGCCGGATCAACCTGATTCCCTTTCTCCTGGGCCAGGCTATGAAACAGAAAAACTGAGATCTGGAAAGGCAAGCCCCGGTGAGGAGTTCTGGGCAGCATCCTTGAAAGCATGACTAGGCAGGGCCATCAAATGCAAGCAAACTTCTGGGGCTAGAGCCCACTGACCAGGAAAGGAAAAAAGGAAAAAAAAAAAAAGACTTGGAAATGCTCCTGGCGGTCACACACAGAATTAGAGAAAACACAAAACAGGGCTTAGCGATTTTTAGCTTCATGAATTCAATTCAGCCATTAGAGACCTGGTGTTGCTTTAAAGGGAGGAGGCATGAAATTCTACCCTCTTCTTCCCCAAGTCCTTCCTCCTAGCTTCTCTGGACTGGTCCCTGAACTTCTAAGTCAGTCCTTGCCTGCAAGGAAAGTACCTCAGATCAAACACACCATTTTCCAAAAACTCATGGGGTTCCTGGAGCTACCATTAAGGACACATTCCCAAGGTCTTGCCTGTTCATCGCTCTGACCGTTGGAAACTGAGAAACAAGAAGATCCGATTGTGTACAGATTCCAGCCCTACTTCCGCCAGGCTTCAGGAGAGCCCCTCAGAATTTCTATCTGGACCCTAAGGCCCAGTCATGCCCCCTACTTCAAGGTCTCTCATCATTCAAACGGCTCCTGGACCCCAAGCCCGGATTCTACAGCACCCTCCCCTCCTAAGTCCCACCTCATCACTGCTAATCTTAGGGGCAGGTCTCCCCCCCAGTGCGGCAAGTCTAAGATGACGCTGGGAGAGGTTCATGTGCTGGGACGTCTATCAGGCCTCCCAGGCTCACCCATCCAATTTCACTTCCTTGGCTGCTTTCTTCCCTCTTTCCGCTAAAAGGACCAGCCAACCCACCCACAGCTGGGGCCTGGTAGCTGATGAAAATGGAGGGGACTGGGCGCACCAACGGGGCGCCCCCACGGCACCGGGCCCAGATTTTCCATAGCGAGCTAGGGGAAAAGCCCCACGTGGGGCCCTTCAGACCCAGATCCCGACTCTGCACCCCAAGAAAGAGTACCTACAGCATGGGTTCGAAGGAGGGGCCGGTGGGTTTCCGTGCACTCCCCGAAGTGAGGAAGGCACGGGAGTGTTCACCTACACTGTGGCCGGGCTACGGTGGATAACCGGGTGAGGGTCCCAAGCCCGGGCAGCGCAGGCTGACGCCCTTACCCATGCTGACGCCGGAGCGATCTGGGCAGCGCTGCCCATCCCCAGATCCTTCGCAGGCGGGTGATAAAAAGAAAAGAAAAAAAGGGCCGAAGTCGGCCCCTTGCCTGCAGAGACTTGGACAAGCTGGGCCAGGCTAAACGGGGCGGGGCCCGGAGAGACCCATCCGGGTGGTCCGGCCCGAAGAAAAAGGCCCGGCCAGGGTGCAGGCCGACACACCCGCGCGGTAGGCACGCGACTGCCCCGCGAGGCGCCTGGCGGGTTCTCCCCGCGTTCCCCCGGCCGCCGCCTCAGAGGACCGGCGGGAGGCGGAGCCGCGCGCGACACATGGCCGCGGCCCCGCGCGGTTTCGGGCCGCTGAGGGCGGGGGGAGGGGAGGGGCCGCCCGGGAACTCACAGCCGAGGCTCCGGACGGCGCAGAGCGGGGCTCCGCCGGCTCAGCCCCCGACTCGGCGCTCTGGCCCCGACACTCACCCAAGGGGCTGGCACGATGGCGGCAGCGGCGGCGGCAACCAGCGCGGTCTGCGACCGACTGTCCCTTCCCCCTTGCCTTCCCTCGCTCGCCCCGCTGCACTCTGGGAAACGCAGTCCTACCACGCTTCTTTCGGGTATCCGGTGCGCCGCCGGAAACTACAGTTCCCGTCGTGCTACGCGCCCAGGCCCACAGGGAGGCCCGTAGAGCGGGCCGTGAGGCTAAACTAGGGAAGGAGGCTGCCGGGGCGAGCCCCTGAGAATTGTGGTCTAGCGGAAGCCTCTGGAATACCAGAGGCTGGCGCCCGGCTCGGGTCAGAGAGCAGTTGTTATTCGGCCCCAGCCAGTCCGGCCCCGCCCAGGCTGAGCGGCCGGTGGAGATTGGCTCCGCCTCCACGGGGGAATCTCGGCCTCTCCCCAGGCTAGCTCCGCTGCCCCTCCCTGGGCCTCAAGACGATTTCCGTTCGCGCAACCCCCTCCCCTTGGTGGCTCTGCCCACCCCTGGCGGAACCCTCAGCTTTGCTGTCCCAGTATTCCAGCGCCCTGCCCTGTGGCCAGGCGGAACCTGGGGCTCCTTTCTGGGTTGAAGAGACACTCAAATACCTACCCCCCCACCACCACCGTGGAGTGGGGCGCGGGGGTTGGTTGTAAAGAAAACCCCACTTCTGCCTGTAGCCGCCCTTACTCTCATACTTGTCCACCTGGGTTTCCAAAACATTCTCCCGAGTTGTTTTTTGCAGCAGTTAAGTTGAATTTTTGTTAATGAAGAGATACCTGACTCACCTCACGTTCCCAGTGACTCGTGACAAAATTGTAAATAATGCACCACCCCCTTCTTGGCCAAATTTATACTCCCCTTGGTTACTGGTGTAGTGTAGGGGGTGTGTGGTATGTGGTTGGGGAATGAGACCTTGGCTAACCTAGGGGACCACAGATAAGGAAAATGATTAACAAGAGCTCTCCAGGCAATTCCAGGTCTTCTCACTAGGCCAGATCTATCAGTGTTCTGCTCTAGAAAGATTTACCCATTTTCACTACCGCTCCATGGCTGCTAAGAGCAGGTCCAGGTTTGATTTGGTAATTTCAGGTCTGTACTAACTTTGCTAGGTTAACTATCATTGAGTCAATGAGGACTCATAGCGACCCTCTGTGGGTTTTTGAGAGATTTTACTGGAGTAGAAAGTTGTCCTTAGTGCTTCTAATCATCCAGCCGAGAAGAGCTCTGCTTCATGCGGCCTTTGTTCCTTCCTCTGTGAGCTGTTTTCCCCTGGCAAAAACCTAAAAAGTGGGACAGGTGCTATCCAGGTAACATCCAGATAGCAGAGAGTCCTGGCCAGAACCTGGCTCTAACGCTGTCCTCGGAGTGCTGCTGAAGTTCAAGAGCCAAAACAGAAGTCTATTCAACAAACAGGCACTAAAGAAGACAAGCCTTGGTAAAGGAGAGTTGGGACATCTGAGATTGGTCCAGTAGCAGAAAAGAGCTTCCCAGCTGCCCTGGAAAGACATTGCTGTGCTCCCACCACCTTGGGACCAGGCAAAGTCAATACTAAGCCGAGATCCAGCCCTTCTAACAAGGGTGTTCCTCTCACTGCCCCCTGCAAAATAACCTATTCCTGCTCCCATTCCCATCAGACTTGTTTCCACATCCGACAAGACAGGGGCCAGAGAAATACCTGGAGTTGAAGCTTGCAGCCATAGAGCTAGTCTCCAGGTAAGTGGCTTTGCCCCGAGGTACCACAAAGAAGATAATTGTGTTTTAGAACCCAGAATATATCCATGTATGCCAAATACCCAGAGTTTGGCCTTGAGCTAAATGGTTTGGAGTGGGCACATAAAAGACACTTTCCCCACCAATAGCCAACCTAAGGGGTAGGCAGCAGCTAAGAAAAAAGAGTTCAAGGGGCACAAATCCCAACTCCTGTTCCTTAATGCTCTTTGTAGCTCGAGCTCCACACTAAAGATGTCCCAAGGTCCAAACCAAAAGATTCCTTGTGCTATGAGCCATGGTTGGCTTCTGCGGAGGTAACTGCATGCTCATGACAAATTCAGTGCTGGACCTACAAAAGGTTGAAGAGTGAGCAAAACCTAAACAATAGTGGCTGAGAATTCAAGATGGAATTCAAACCTCTTCGAGCTCGGATCATTCATGCAGTTTCCGGACACCTTACTTTGAGCTTGGCCAGGACCTCTAAGAAAAGCTGCAGAGTAGCTCTTCATGCTTAGGGCCTCTCTGGAGAAGTCTGATCACAGAAGCTTCTCCCATCTCAGGCAAGGCCAGCCTGGTCCTTCAGACACGAGGCTGAGTGAGACCTAGTTCCTGATGGTTCAGAGACAGAATCCTTCTAAAAAGAAAACCACAAACCCAAATAAAAACCTTACTTTCTGTTTAATTCTTTTTGTCAAACAAACACAGTGAAAACTTTAGTCTAATTGTACAGAAAATAGAATTTGTAACCAGTAGCAAACATAACAGGATAAACCTAAGTCCCTGGGGCAAGCAGACTCTCCCAGATCTGGCAAGGCGGTCACCCAGATCCCTTCACAGACCACCTCCCATGGAGCAAGGAGAGGCCCTTAGAGGTGGCGAGGCACAATCTGCCAGTTCCCATCAAAATCACAGGCCACATCTGGGTAAGCAAAGCATGAAAATGAGGAGAACCGATGTCACTTGAATCTCTTATCACTACACACACAGTCTCTGATTGCTGGTCAACTTCAAGGTACTGTCTTTCCGAGCCCACAGTCCCTAGGCATTCCACCTGCATTCTTAAGGGATAAGGTTCAAGTCCACTGGTTCTGAAGCATCTGCTTAACCGCAATCCACAAAATAAACCGGGGGGGGGGGGGGGGGGGGGAGGGGGGCGGGGAACGGGACAGGACGGACCAAGTCCTAAGTGCTGGTGTCACCAATGCAGAGTCTGAGGCCCCGGGTCCTTGCTTCAAGAGGAAACAAGTAACGGTGCCAGGTCACACACCAGCAAGAGTCCAGCTGCCTTAAGCCTCCCTACTGCCAACCAGTACCCAAAGAGTATGGGGGAGTCCAACAGCAGCCCGAGGTCCCCCTGGGCTGGCAGTCCAGGAGTCCAGTAGGCCGCAGTGGGGCCCCTTCACATTCCATGCTTCTTTCGAATGACAGCCATGGCCAGCAGCCGATCCTTCTCACGGAGTTCTTCTCGAAGCTTGGCCTCAGTGAGACGCAGGTGGCGGATGCTGCCCTTCATCTCCTTCATCTTCACCTCCATCAGCGCCAGGATGTCCCGTTGCTCATTGAGCTTGCGCAGGAGCTCCTCTTCCGTGGTGCCTGAAGACAACGAGTACGAGTGGTCAGAGCCGGTATCGGGGAAGCCCTCTTCCCCCACGACGACCAACTGCGGGCCCATAGGACATTCAGCTGCTTCGAGACCGGCAGTAGCAGCCTCCAACTCTGACGCGGCGGCTGCTGCAGCGGCGCCCTCTGCAGATGCGAATTCCACTTGCACCGTCAGGTCGATGGGCTTCACGTCTTCCCCAGTGGGAGTGTTGGGATTCGGCGCTACGGATCCCGGTACCTGGCTACTATCTACAGCGGCCTGAAGGGTGAGGAGCACGGCCGCTGAAGCAGATACCAGATTCGGCTGCAGCTGGGCAGTCTGGGCGGTGGAGGCCGACGGCGCCGGTTGCTGCTGCTGCTGCTGCTGCTGCAGTTGCTGCTGCTGCTGCTGTCTGCGGCGGGCGGCCGCTGCCCCCGCGGGTCTGCGCGCTACTTTGCGCTCATTGACACCGCGCAGCGGAAAGATGGTGGGGACGCGCACCGTGTAGGTCTTGCGGCCGCCTTGGAAGTGGACGCTGCAGAGACGGTGGCCCGTGGTGGGCTGGAAAGTGGAGAAGCACCCACTGACGCCGGCGCGGGACACGTTCTTCAGCCATAGGCGCCGCAGCTCTGCATCCTTGGGGAACGTGTAAAAGTGCAGCGCCTTGTCCCGGTGCGAGTTGTTGTAGCAGCCCGGAACGCAGCACGTAAAGCCAGGCATGGCTGCGCCGCGCGGCCTGACCTGGCCCACCGGCCTCCCGC